ATGAACATGCAGATATCTGCAAATATTTGAACTTAAATTTACAAATGAAATCACAAAAAGATCATCTGAATAAGACAAATGCAGACAGTTTGTAGTAACGTGCTCCACGAGGTCTTTGAGAGTCTGAGTTGTAGAACTTTAAAGAGGACATTAAAGTATCTGTGGCATCTAATCTTTGTAACAATTTTGAATACATTAATGGAAAGATAACATTAACATATCTTGAAAAGAAATTCTTGTTGCTGAGGTGAATTATTCTTAAAATTTTTACATGTAGAGTAACAGGAAGTGATGTCAAAGGGGAACACCTGCATGTTAACAGAGCATTGCTGCAATAACAAAGACTACAGAGAAGAATTTGATGTTTTTTTTTGTTGTTGTTGTTTGTTTTGTTTTTTTGAGTTTCTATCAGAGAGAAATACTGTAAGTTCAAATATTGTTTCAGTAAACAAAGACCAGGGGGTTCACCTTTTTAAAGAGTTCCCTTTTGATGTGACTTCCTGTTTCACTTTGGCTGAGACAAGTTCAAAAGAAAATATGCCAGTTATGTGCCAAAATATTAGGGGTGTCCCGATACCAGTTTTTTCAAGACTGAGTACAAATACGAGTACTTGAGTTTGGGTACTCGCCGATACCGATACCGATACCAAGTAGCGGGGTTAGGGTGGATTATCTGTTCAACTTGTTGAATATTAAACAGAATGAAAATGAAATGCAATTATCATGCAAAAATTGATGGGTAAATATTATGTTTGACAATAAAGAGGTAGTGCAAACTCTGGTTCACACTGCAGGCAAATCCGACCCAAATCCGATTTTTTTGACCCATCTGACTCATATATGATTTTTTATGACAGTCTGAACGAGACAAATCCGATTTTTTCTAATCCGACCCAGGCTGTTTCAGTATGTGGTTTTAAATCAGATACATATCTGATGTTTTCAAAGTGACTGCAGTGTGAACGCTCATGTCACATTCATCAGGAGGAGGGGGTGAAGGATCGATAAGACACTAACCTGAAGTCTCGCTGTTTAAATCTGTAGCTCCATGTGTTTACAGCTCCAAAACACAAGTCCAGTTGCTTCATCTTTTTACTTTTCATTTTCCACGTAGATAGTTTGATAATAACATGTCCAGCCTGGGTCGCGGAGAGTATCGATCCTGAAGTTCGATACTCGGTCGATACTTTTTTCCAGCTCGTAGTTTCTTTAACAAAAAAAAAAAGCTTCACTGGAGCATCCCGGTCAGAGGCAGGTTCAGATATAAGCACTGAACTAAAGAAGCAGGTCAGATAATTATTTAATCGGCTCTGATTAAACAACTTCAGATTCGATGTGCAAAATGTAGCATCCATGCTAGCTCTGTAAACAAACAAGCCGGCTGATGAGACGTCACGTCTTTTACTGCGCATGTGTGTCACATCAGTGCTGTGTAGTGTTCACACAGGAGTCTGATGCAGGTCACATTTAAAATGTAATGTGAACGTTCACACAAAAAGATCGGATTTTTTCAAAAAACCTGAACTGAGCATTAAGACCTGCAGTGTGAACGTAGCCTCAGACAAGTAGATAAGTTGGTAAATATATCACACCATAACTTTTGAAACCATTTATTTTATTTCAAACAGGCTCTTTTTTATAAGGCTCCCTCTGAATGTATTAACAATACAAATACTGCAAAACAAATGCTGTTGCATACATTAAAAACAAAATAAGTTATTTTTATACATTTTCCTCAACATGCAACTACCAAATTTAAATTAAAATGTAAAACGTAAATTTTAGCAGCACATCTATAGAAGTTTACTCAGCTTCAGTCTTAAACTGTTTAAAAAATGACTAAATAGTAATAAAGTGCAGTAAATTTCAGTTCTAACTTAAATGGAACAACTAAAAATCTCAGAAGAACCACAGTGAAAAATAAAATGTTTTTACAACAAACTTCCTTCCATATTCTGCTTATGTCTTAGTTTGTTCTACAAGAAAGAAAAAACAGCATTGAAGTTACTGCAACAACTGCAGCATAGTGCTGTTTATGAAGGCTACTGCTAGCAGCAGAAACTCTTTGAATTCTTTGTCATGTCTTGTCCTCAAATGTTGAATCAAACTGCTGCTGTTAAAACATCCAACTTTCGCTCCTCCTCTTGACAGTTAGCAGAGCACAGCAGACAGTCTGCTGGTTTGTCCTCCGTGCTGCTCTTAAATATCTCCAAACTGCCGATATGTTACTTCTTCTTCTTCTTCTTTTCTTCTCATCGTTCTTCTTCTGTTATTCGGGGGTGCGGTCGGAAATAACTTGTCAGTGCATTAGCGCCCCCGCCTGGTATGGATTGTTGTTTACCCTTTGTGCAGCGCAGCACAGGAGGGGACAAAAGTGGTATCGGTTAAGAGTATCGGCTGGCTTTTACGAGTACGAGTACGAGTACTTGATGCTGGTATCGGATCCGATTCCGATACTGGTATCGGAATCGGGACACCCCTACAAAATATATCAAATTTCGCAATGCAGGGAAATTATTTCGGTCATTTTTAACATTTCCATTCACAACACAACACCAAAATACAGAATGATTATAACAAAACAGAATTAATGCAGAAAATAAATACACAATCTCAGAATTCTTGTCAATGTCAAAAACAAAAGGTATAGACCAAAAAAAGTGTAGGTAAAATCATGTGTTATGCCAAATATAAATATAAATATGTTTTCTTTGACATTTTGAAGGATTTGCACAGCACTTTAAAGTGAAACTCCTTTGCATAATTATTTTTTCTTTTTACTGCAGAGGAAAAAGTTATTCCCACTGATCAACACATAATTATGCAAAAAAAATTAAATTACCCGTATTCTTGCTACATTTTTGAGCTCTCGTTACATCCCTTTATGATCTTTAATAATTTAACCTTGAGGTCTGATACCAAAGCTGGGGGATATGGCTTAAAAATGTATCAGGGTTTAGCATTTTATATCAGTCGATATCCATAATTATTGATTTTTTTTTTGCCTATTTGAAATAAGGACCAGGAGAAAAAAGTCTGATTAATCCTGCCAAACTGATGACATGATCTTTCCGCTTTAATCCACAATTTCCTCTTGAGCTGTTGCCTCATTTTCTCTTTTCACTCCAGGTCCTTCTTTATATTTTTTAAGCAGGCACGGTGGTGAAACATGACACTGCAGGTTACTCAACAGGTTGTCGCTAGCTGACCAAAGACAGTAAGTGAGTTAGTTGATGCTACCAACCTCGTTTATCTGGGCCGTGAGAGATCGAGCAGCTAAAACCTTTCCTTTGCCTACATAATCTCCTGAATTAAAAACAGAAGCACATCATAAATATTTTAACTATTTATTTTGCCAGTTGTATTAAATCCTGACTGAAAAAAAAGTGTATCTATCATACATGAAACATAACAGAAGTTTAATAGGTTGCTGAATGAGGAAAATAGATTAAAACAATAAAATACGATTTTTAGATGTAAACTATTACTAATTTATTATAATTAGAATTTATTTACATTTAACATTTATCATTTTTCTCTAACTCTTTACTTTTTGCTTCCTTGTTCTTGGTTCTGTCTGACTAAACATTGTTCGACCCAAACTACTCCGAAGCAGCAACACCCCCCCCCCCCCCCCCCCCACTACTGAGTCAGGCCTGGAGTTCTGCTCGCGCCTTTTATTTATTTATTTTTCCTTCGACCTGAACCTTTTTGCTGCTCAACAAATAACTTTGAGGCTTACTCAGAAAAAAGTGGAGGGTTTTTATACTTTTGGCACGAGAGGAGACGGAAACAAATGGTGGATTTAGGTGCCCCGCTTTTAATAATCGATTTTTATCGATTCGTTGTTGCAGCCCTTTAATGAACACTGTTCCACGAATAAAGTTACTCATTGTTTTTCACTAACAGTAAAATGTTCCATCTAACGAGTTGTATATGTGAAGACAAAATTTAAGGCCTTACCACTTTCCCTAACAGTTTTGATATTAGGGCTGCAACGTTTAGTCGACATAATCAATGACGACGCAATGCAACACATGAACTGCTGGGGGAGGGGCTGCTGTTTTGAGTTATATGGCCATTAGTGGTTTGTTTAAAAGACTACTTGCAGTTTATTTGCATTACACTATTTCATTTTTTTTCTGTATTAATGTTAAAATACATCTGAGTAAGCTATTAATTTCGAGGTTCGACTTCATATGTTTCATGGGTTATTTAAATTTTCTGTGAAAACGTCACTTTTTAGAGAGACTGGATAAAAGAGTGACATTCTCAGGTATGAGCAGGTAAGATGAGATGGAACATGAGGTACGCTCACAGGAAGATTAGATGAACATTGTGACAGAAATAATCACTGACTAATCAACTAATTGAAAAAATAATCTTAGATTAGTCGACTATCAAAATAGTCATTAGTTGCAGCCATATTTGATATCACTCTGTAAGTTAGTATATTACTCTGGTTAACTTATTGTTGGCTGGTGTTGTGCCCCCACAAAGAAAAAAAAGCCCCCCTGCTGTGTAACACACACCTGTCTCAGAGATCAGATTGACACAGGACCGCAGTGTTAAGTGCACCAACCTTGGGCTGCTCACAGAGGAGCCTGCATTTTAATAGACTTGCTATGCTCGGGCACGGTCGATGCTGATTGCTGAACAACTGCTGAATCCATCCATCTACCTCTAGAGGATGCAAAATAAGCTTTCACTGGCTGCAGTTTGTCTGCGCTATAAGCAGCAACCCTTTAAACAAAAGCACTTTAATTCAATTAGGTTACTTTTAAACATGCTTTTTTCCTCAAATATTGATTCTACAATCCCTTGTAATTTATTGTGCCTGAGATTTTAGGACCTCAAAATCAGCTCTTCAGCTCTGCACATGTTCTTTTCTCACATTTGCTTTTTGAAAGTCCACACTTTTCACCTCTCGTTTATTTCAAACATGTTTAAACTTCAGTGGCAAAATATAAAAAAATACAAACTTCGGGCAGACAGCTTACCTGTTTTGCTCCTCGAGCTTCGCCAGCAGCTCTTCATCGTCCGGACTGAGCTGCGCGGGTGAGGAGGGTGAGAGGGCAGGCGAGGACAGAGACGTGGAGGAGGAGGTAGTGGGGGTCGGCAGGGATGTGGGCGTGGCCACCTGGCTAGCCATCTGACTGACTGAGAGCGACACGGAGTTCTTCATCCATGAGAGAGTAGAACTCAGCTTTCCTGCCACCTTATCTGTCGCCACCTGCAGAGGTTGGAGGAGGAGCTTTGAGTTGAAGCTGTAGTTCTAAAACAGACATTCTTATATTTTACAAGACAGCTTCTAAAGCCAACTACTTTGAATGCAAAGATTATGTTTCTGTAAAAAAAAAAAAAAAGAAGAAGCATTTAAACCTAACAGAACATCTCTGCATCCCAACACTGCTACATCAACAGTTTTATTAGACAGCACCTCCAGCGTGTGGATCGATGCTGCTGCTTAGATTTCAGTCAGCTTTGGCCAATCAGTTTCTCTTTTGGTTTCCAAAAATCAATATACTAAATGACTTGCTTGTATTCCAATAAAAACTGGATGCGTAAGCACTGAATTTTGACAGAAAAAAAAGGGATGCTCATTTGTTTCAGTCTAAACAACCTTTAAATTTTACTGTATGGATGAGTCATGGTTTCTATTTAACTGCCTGTCAATTAAAGAAAAATGCAGATGCTACAGTCTGTCAGCAAAATATCTCATCAACTACTGGATGGATTTTAATGAAACACAGAAGTAATCTCTTGATACCTCTACAACTGATTAAATTTAAGAGTTAATCCAATTCAAAACAGCTACCACAGCCAACAGACACAAAAACCTCCCACAAATTTCATATATCCTGAGCTGAAATTTAACATGGTAGTAGCTGAGCATCATCCCAGACACATATTTTTAGCATTGAGAAACTGCACAATCTGTGACATCAATATTTTGTCATAAATAATGTAGTTTTTGAAAGAAAACATTGATAGCATACTGTAAAAAAGAAAAGATTTCACGCTGCTGACATGAACAGTTGTTGAGATATTTGCATTTTCAGTAACAGGAAGTGATATCAAAGGGGAATGTCTGAATGCAAACAGAGAATTGCTACTATAGCCAACAACACAGACTGTAAAGAAGAATCTGATGGATTATTTTAATCACTATCATAGAGAGGTGAGAAAGAGTCATAGGGCCTCATGCAAGAACCGTTCGTACGCACAGATTTGTTCTTAAATTGTGCGTACGAGTGATTTAGGAGAATTTGTAGCATTCACCAATGTTTTCGTATTCTAAGATTTTTTTCAGATACGAACAAAATTTATGAGTGGTCCAGACCTGTCGTATATTTTACCAGCAGTCAGTC